AAGAGCCTTAAGCATTCCATTTCCTCACTAAATTACTAGGGTTTTGTTTAACTGTTTCCTCCTTCAGGGCATTTACTATACCTTCTGCCCTTCCCAGACTTCACCCTGGGACAGATAAGAAGTGATCAAGGGCCATCTAAACTGACTATAAGTCACTTTCATTGTTATTGTTCAAGAGGATCAATTCAGCAATAATAAAAATGCTTTAGGCTGAAGAGGTTTTTTTTAAGTTTTTATTCAAAATAAAAATAGCTTATTAGATTAAAAACAAGCAAAACCAAGCTATTAAGTTAGAAGTCAAGATAAGGGTTACCCCTGGGAGAGGATGTAAGGACTGGAAGAGAGCACTCAGGAATTTGGGGCAAGTGATGCTGTTTCTTGATCTGGTGGTGATGACATGGGAGTGTTCACTTTGTGAAAACAGATCCAGCTGGACACAGGATTTGTGTTTTGTTGTATGCATGTTAAGTTTCAAGTAACTTTATTGATTTGCTTGGAAAAAAAGTTATATTCTTACACTTAGATTACAGTAATTATTGACTGACAGTGAGAAATTCAAAAAGCTCTTTGAACAAGAAAAATGGACATAACTGGGCATATTTAAGTGGGTCTTTATAGGGCACCTGCTAGCTTAGCCTTTTAGTCTGAAATCTACCTTGTACTTTGTAGTTGTTCTATCCACATCAGCCAGCTACCAACTCAGAGAAGTTTCTTTTCTGTTTCCCATAACCTTTCCAAAGTGAATGCTACTAAATTCCTACCTCAAAAACCCTTTCCCCTCTGTTCCCTCATTAATCTTGTCAGTGTCATCTTGTCATCATTTTCTTGTCATCATTTTTGAAACCGGAACAGCAGATTCCATGTAATGCAAAGGTTCTAGGCTTTTGTGTAGGATGCTGGGAAATGTGCAATATACTAGTATTTATTAAATTACCTATTTTACCTGTAGGGGTTGGAGGTGTGGTAAAGGAGGGCGTTACTTGATTGAAATCTAGAGGGCATTAATGCAAATCCAAATCTCTGAGTTTCTTCAGACTTCTCAAACAACTTAGTCTAGCAATTATTTTTCTATGTTAGAATACGCTTGTAAGACAGAATGCACAATGTGAAATTATATACTCATATATACATAAATATATATAGAATTTAAGTAAACATAAACTTTTGAATTATTTGTAAACTGGCTTCCTTTAGAGAATAGGTCTTGCTCTAAATTATGTAGACTTATTTTTCTGTGAAACACCTGGATTTTTAAAAGGGGGTAAGAAACTTGATTTTTCTCCAAATTATAAAATATCAAACCAAGCACACATTAAAGGGAATGGAAGTAAGGTCTGAATTTTTCCACTAGTGGAATAAAAGAGTCATATAATACCTGCTAACCACCTTGACAACGTTCATATTCCTCTTACTTTTGAGGGACAATAACTTTTAAAAATGTGTTTTATTGAAGGTTTCCTGTATGTCAAGCTCTATACCAAGCAATGCATATGCATTTATTCATTTAACCTCAACGGCTGTTCTGTGAGTTAGGAAATATTACACTTTGCATGTTACAGTTGAGGAAACTGAAATTGGGATGCATTAAGCAACGTGCCCACAGTAAGATCTGAATTTGGAAGATGAGAATGAAGAAAAAGAAAAAAACGAAGAAATGATAACCCTTCCATCCCTCAGAGGTTGTGTGACAGTGAAACAGAGAGCTTAGGCATGGAAAACGGCCAAATCAGTGACTGGGGGGTGACTGGGGGCCCTATTGTACAGTTTACATTCCTTCCTCTTTCTCTCCATGTCCTGTCTAATATAGACAGAGACCAAGGTCCAGAAGAGAGAGGAGCTTCTCTCACAATCTCCCAAGATCCCTAGCTTAAATCAAGAAAGTAACTCTCCTTCCACTGTCTACCTCACCAGAATTCTCCCATAATACTCACAGTCCTTTACACCCACCTCCTACCACCAGAGCCTGCTAATAGACAAATGCAAAACAAAAGCAAAGACAGGAAGTTGAATTTTTAAAATATAATGTGGTCAGTGCTTTAACTCCATGCCAAGTTCAAGAGGACAAGTATAGCCTTGATGTCAGACCATATACACCGTGAGTTTTAAAACGTTGAAATAGTCAAAAAAAAAAAAACCCATCTACCTACCCATGCATCCACAGACCCTGGGGATTCTCAGACCTCCCCATGATCAAGCAGCTAAAGCATTAATGCCTGGCTCTAGTACAACAGGGTTATCTCTGGGATCTACTACCCATTTGCTGTCTTTTGTGGTTAGTTGGTGCCTATGTCAAAGATTAGACTATCACCTTTAGAGCATCCACATCCTCACTGTGACTTGGTGGGTGGCCAACAAACTATGCATGGTACTGCACCCTCTGGGTGACATCTTCCATTTCATATGGTGGTCAGGACAAGAGGACCAGTGATTATACTGCTTTAATCACTTCAGGAACAAGAGATAATTTCTTCACATCCTAAGCAGCTCCAAATGCATCATTTTTGAATGCCCTATAACAGTACCACATTTTTACACAAGAAGCACCAAAAATTAAGAAAGGCTAAGTGATTTGCCTAAAATCAGGCAGCTTACTGGTGAAAGACTAGGAGGTACACTCAGGCCTTTAATTCAAGATCTAGTTCTTTTTTGTCTTCAACACACTAACTAAGGTAAAATATAAATAGTCAGATAACTTGAACCGCCTTGATTCTGGAAGGTCAAATATGAGCTGGGAAGAGTAGAAGAGGGATGCTTGGGAGAAAAAAGGCAACCCTAAGAAAGGCTGGGTCCCTAGTAGTCCACTGATTAGCTGGAGACCCAAGGAACCAAAGTGCCTGTAGGAGAGTTCATTATATTCCAGATAACTTGACGTCTGAGTGCAGTCTAAGTTTTCTTTTTTAAAAGACCTGAGATTCTACTGGCCTTCTCCTTAGAGCCTACATCCTTCCTTCCAGGAGGGCTTCTTTGGAAACTCACTGCTGCAATGCTCAGAGGGAGCTCTTTTCAACTTATTTGGGTGGTATTTCACTAATGGCCTCTCTATTACCCTCAACACATCACTCAGTCTTTCTCTCATTGGTGTTTTTGATTTCGTCTCCTCCACCTAGCATGTAAGGTCTGTAACAGCAGGGATTTTGTCTACTTTCTTCACCACTCCAGGATCCAGTCCAGGACTGGCAGCAATAGGAGAGTAGGAAATATGTTACAGAAATGCACATTATAAAAGTCATCTACCTGGATATACCAAAATGTGTTCTCATAGAATACTTTCAGTCTCGGTGTGATGTTGGCTATTTTCTCCCAAACAAGAAATTGTAGAGAATTATTTAAAATACAGTTTAGAATCATCACTGTATACACATCCAAAGGTTATGCTGAAACTCCTATTTTTTAACTCTACAAAGTCTCTTTCTCTTCCCTTTCCCCCTCACTCCCTCGGTAAATCCATCATCACATCACTTCTCTATTCAAGGATCTCAACATGGGCAAGACGTGTTTGTTGCTGAACTGCATTTTCTTTGTCTTATTTTCCCTGGCACAAAGCATTTAATCTGTGTCTGTATTTATTGTTTAGGTTTTATTTCATTTACAGAAACATTCAGTCCAATTAGACTGGAAAAGAAAGAAGAAAAGTGTGAAGTCCATGGTTAAAAAAAAAAATGTATGTTTACATCCTTGCCTACAGCATTTAATAGTTGGCATGAGCTTTCAAGGAAGCTGTGGCTCATACTCTAAGTTCCGTTTGCACTTCCAGCTGGACAAAATATAGACACAGACGCACTCAGCTAAGTAATTGGATTCACTACCTGGAATATTTAAATTGTTTTCAGACACTGGAAAATGGCTTAAGAAGATTAAAGAAAAATACCCTAGAGGATAACAGGCTATAATTTACTAGGTGGAAAATCTTTTCTGTAAGAACACCTCATTCTCCTATAATTCCTCCTGATGAAGAGATGTATTAGTCATTTGGACTTAAATTTCGTTAGAGCCTGGCAACTCGGGTTTATTTCAGTGGGTTTTTCTTATCGAACCTTTTAAATGACACCCAGGGCATAAAATTGATACCATAATATTCCCCAACCGAAGATTTGCATGTTTTCAGGGGGATGACTAATTTAAGTGTTTTGAAGACAACTGGGGTAGAGGGGAAGGAGAAGTCATTTGAAGTCCCGGGGTCCGGACTGCACTTAAAGCATTAGAGACCCATGCACTGGGCTAGGCTCTGCCCTACCTGGCAAATGGTGCAGGTATATCGTGGGGCAACCTCTCAACGTGTCTATTTCAAGCAGAAGACTCCAACCAGCTTAGTTGTCCAAAGTCAGCCCTCCCCACTTGCCTGCAGGCCCAAGAGCCCTCCAGGACCCCTCAAGGGCCCCCATTTTGTTCACGCCCTCCCCAGACGTGTCCCCGCAGCCCTTTTCAGGGACCCTCCCTCAGGAGCCAGGAGCTGAAGTTTGGCATCAACGACCACCTGTTGGCTGGACCGTTGTGTCCTCCGCAGCGTGGACTCCCACAAAAGCGCTAAGAGGGTTCTTAATCACTGAACTGTTTTGAACTTCAGGCCCTTCTTTCCTGAAATCCGGCAAAAGAGGTTAACAGGAGGTGCGTCCCCAGGCGGAGAGGGGCGCGTCCTGTTCACACCAGGCGCTTTCCAGTTAGTCCTAACTTCACACTCACCACTTTCCGAACTCTCAGGACCTGTCACCAGGCAGAGCTTGTCCCTCCCTCTCCACTGGCCCAAAAGATTTAAGACCCTCAGGGGGCGCTTGCCAGACCCAGAAAGGATGGCAACTATTAAACCCCGATGAAACAGGAGCGCGCGCAAAGCTCCTGCCCTTGGCCATCCGCCTTGGCAGATGCCAACCTGTGCGCCCGAGGCGGCCCCTGCCCGCTCCCAGTGCGCCCATTGCATAACGCGCCCCTCGCCCCACCCCCACGACACCCGCCCTGCCCGGTGCCCGAGCCAGCGCCCCGACTTGGGCCGCCCCAATACTTACATCATCCCACTTGACGAATTTGGTGCCCTTCTTGAGGCTGTCGGACACGCACACGGGCTTGAGTTGCAAGGCGTGCACTCCGGGTTGAGCCCCGGCCATCTGGGCTCATTTGGGCTCCGGGCGGCCCGGGCGAGCGTGTCAGGGACTGGGGACCGCGCGCGGGGCGCGGGGCGCGGGCCGGGGGCTCCTTTCTCTTCTCCTGAAGCTCTTGACTCTGCTCCCCCGCCGGCCTCCCTGGCCTCCCGGCCTCCGCACCTCCCTCAGGCGCCGCTCAGCAGGCAGGGCGCGCGGGGGCGCAGCGCCGGGCCATGCCCCGGGCGGGACGCGAGGTCGGCAGCCCGCGGTGGATGAGAAGCCGCGGAAGGCGAAGAGACGCCGAGCCAGGCAGCCGAGGCTGCCAGTGGCCGCTGGATCCTGCTCCTCCGCAGCCGCCGCCTCAAAGCGCACCATTCAGCACATCCTCTACACACGGAGGGAGAGAGCGAGTGACACACGCCCGGCGCCCCCCCTCCCCGCTCTTTTCCCTCCTCCCTCCTCCCCGCCACCCTCGCTCGCTGGGTCCTTCCTTCCCCCCGCGGCTCCCAGCCCAACTTTGCACGCTGGGTCAGGCGCCAGGAAGTGGGGATGCAGCGGCACCTTGTGGCTCCTGAGCCCCACTGCAGCCAACGCCTGCCTCCCGCACTCCCTCTGAGCATGCCCCGTGCCCCGGTTGCAGGAGGACTAGGGGTGCCCAGGAGCCTTACGCTCTTTGGGGTTTTCTTGGGAACCTGGGCTCGAGCTCCGGGGCGTCTTCGGATCCCAACCGGGTGGGAAAAGGGGCCCACAGGGAGGAACCAGAGAAGCAAACCGCAGCTTTCGGCTCTAGCTGGAGCTCTCCAGCGGCGGCCACAAAACAGCTATTTGAAAAGAGAATTTCCATTTGTAAGCAGAGAAGAGCGCAGTTGAGAGGTTCTTTAGAGAAACCTCGCTGCGCCTGAGAGTTTGCAGCGCGCTGATCTTGACGCCCGGGCAAATGGTTTCGTTGTGCTTTTGAGATAGAAAGCCCACCCTGAAGAAAGCAAAGGTTTTATTTTCCAAGGAAAAAAAAGGGTCCCCTCTCCCGCTCCTCTCCTTGAGTATGTAGGATGTGTGGCGGTTAGGGGAGAGGCTTATTAATAGAAACTTGCTCACTTAGGAGCATAGATTCAGAAATGTTTGTCTTCACTCCTTCAACACACCTTTCTCAATTCAAGGAGGGAAGGGAGGGAAGGAGGAAGGGAAAGAGAGAGACCAGAATGGATAACACTTTAAAGACTGGTAATGCCAAACGTTTGAAAGACTGTGGAGCAACTGGAACTCTCGTTCATTGCTGGAAGGGATATTAAATAGTAAAGCCACTTTGGAGAACAGCTTCTTACAAAGTAAGACGTTTACTTATCATACAACCTAGAAATTCCACTGCTAGGTATTTGTCCAAGAGAAATGAAAGCATAAGTTCATAAAGACTTATAACGCGATGTGAATAACTTTCTTATTAATAACCCACAAATGTCAATCAATAGGTGAATGGATACACAAACTGTGGTATGCCCAAACATGGGAAAACTATTCCACAATAAAAACGAGTGGGCATGCAAGAGCAGGGATGAATCGCGACTTTAAGCTTAGTGAAAGAAGCCGGACAGGATAGACTGCAGGCTGCATGATTCCATGTGTAGGAATTGCAGGACAGCAAGCTAGTATGTGTTGACAGAAAGCCTGCCTGTGGCCAGGGATAGGTAGAGATGGATAGAGAAGGGCTACCAGCACCTGTTGTGCATGTTCCAAATGTTCTATATCAGGTGTGTATATTTCTCAAAACTTGCAAGTTCCATAAGTACACCTAAATTGAGTGCAGTTTGCTTTAAGATATAATTTTAAATCTCAAAAGGTTGATTTTTAAAAAGAAGAAACAATATGAAGAAGGAAAAATGGAGAGAAACACTACTGTCTCTTGTCTTCATTCTCCCTGTTCTCTGCCCTCAGGATTCCAATGCCTGATGTTTACAGACTCAGTCAAAAGATTACCAAAATCCAATACAAAAATTTGCTATTAAATATTTCAATGCATTTTAAAAATACTTACTGGTAGCCAGCTGTATACTAGCCACTATTGTAATCACCAAGGATACCCTGGTGAACAAGACCCATGACTCCTGCTAACATTTGGAGGTCCTGCCTTGTGCTTGGAAGCCACTTGCTACAAAGAATTCCATGAAAAACGGACTGGTTTCTTTTCAATCACATGTCCCTAAAGTAAAACCTGAATAGTCCACAGTCCCTCTAGCCAGCAGCCTTGGCTTGCTAATTGCCCCACAGAAGGTACCTCTCATGTTGATTTTCTCTACTCCAGAGTACTGCAATGAAACTCTGCCTCCAGGGCTCCAGGACTTCTCAAGTGTTCTCACAACTGATCCTACCAAATTGTTTTTCTTCCCTTCCCTTCCCTTCCCTTCCCTTCCCTTCCCTTCCCTTCCCTTCCCTTCCCTTCCCTTCCCTTCCCTGCCCTGCCCTGCCCTGCCCTGCCCTGCCCTGCCCTGCCCTGCCCTGCCCTGCCCTGCCCTGCCCTTCCATCTTTCCTTTCTTTTCCTTTCCTTTTCTTTCCTTTCTTTTTTTTTCTTCTATCTCTTTGTTATTTACTGGAAAGATTGTTGGACAAATAGTTTTTACTTATCACAGTGGCATAGGAAGGAAAGACATGGCTATGCTCACTAGAAGAGGATATTGGAGAGTTAAAATGAGCTCTAAGCAAAATAAGAAAATAGATTGAGCCTCCTGTGGTAGCTTATTGCATCATAGTTCTCTGCTCCTTGCACCTTCCTGTGTCCACACATTTTCCTTTGTGACCTTACAGTTTTTACTAGACATGCTGTTTATTTATCCACCCCACTGATGTTGGGCAATGTGACTTGTTTTAGCCAATGGGATGTTTGAAGATGTGATATGAGCAAAGGCTCCAAATATGCTTTGAGGTTGGGCTTTCCCTCTTGGGTTTCTTATCATTTCCATGAGATAAACATAACTGAGGGAGCTTCTGATCCAAGGAGACGATCAGGGCAGACCTAAGCCCCATTTACAGCTTGGAAGCACGCCCAGTAGAAAACATCCTACATCTGCCAGACCCTGCCAACCTGCAGACTCATGAACATGACAGTAAGTGTTCATTGTTGAATGGCACTGAGTTGGGGGACATTGGGTAAGCATGATTATTGGCAATGGATAGTTGAGTATTTCATCTAGTCCTGATTCCTCCCAGCTGTTGCTGTGAATATGAAAGCACAAAGGAGAGAATGCTGTAGAAATCTGAACAGGATCTGTCTTCAAGACTAACATGACCTGCAAGAGTTACTTCAGCCAGCAAAGTGACACAACTTGATGCAGGAGGACGACAGGATAAGCCTCTTCAGCATGAAGCATGAGGCTTGAAGCAGCATAGTTTCACTCCCTCATTTTCCACACCTTTTGTTCAGTATACAAGATAGAAATGTTTTTAAACTGTGGAGATTTTTGCTATGCAAAGGGATCTGTAAGAAATCCAAAATTGTGTGAACCAGGTCTGTGATCCATCAAGTTTGGTGCTGTGTACTGTTTTTTGAAACAATAGGAAGGTCTGTTTTTTGTGAGAGCACAGAATTGCCCTCGGGGAATGTCAGCCTCAGGGAGTTGGCAACACTAACCTTTATTGGGCACTCATTGTGGATCAGAGCACTAAGCTAAGCACTTCCCAGAACTCAAAAACATAACCCTTCCTGTTCAACACCGCTCTCCACCTTCTTTTTCTTGTAAGCAAACCCTGACTAAATTTTGGTGGCAATCACGCCTAGGAATGACGGCCCCTCTCTCTTTCCAGGGAACGAACTATGATTGGCCTAAACTAATGACAATAATTCCATTCTCCTTTATCTGTGACTGGTTTAGGAGCTACAGGAGGACTCAGTTCTGACTAATGTCTTCAGAGAAATCTCTCTCTCTCTCTTTCTCTCTCTCTCTCTCTCTCTCTCTCTCTCTCTGTCTCATATTGTTATGCAAAGAGGACACTGACAAGAAAGATACAAAAAAACCTGGTCCTTCATGAGCTTTTTAAACCCTTTAAATTTTCTCTGGACTTTTTAATAAGTGAGATAATAAATCTCTTTATTATTTATGCTTTATTGTTACTAGATATTATTATTGTCTTTTATTTTACTAATTTATATACTAAGTCTTGTAGGATGAATTAACCTCCTCCAGTTACAAAATTCAGAATTGAGATTGAGACTTATGAAGTCTGACTTTAGAACCTTGACTCTTAAATATCATGGTAGATACTTCTAGAACTTACAAGGCAGATAGAGTAATTTCTCTCTCCTTTTTGCCACCATATAATGTAAATAATCCTAATTCCCCTAGAAACTAGATTGTGGCATGTACTTCTGTCTCTTGTCAGCTCATAACTCACATGAGGCCTGAATGGGAAGAACAATGTTTTGGTTTGAATAGACATACCTTTTAACAGCCAGTTCTACCAATGACTAGGTATGTGACCCTGGGAAAGTCTCTTATCTCTCCTGAAATACAATATTCTAATATGTAAGTGGAGAAATAGTAATAATGTCAAAGCTTATTATGTCACAAACTGTTCTAAGGGTTTTACATTTTTAATGCATTCATCTGCATTTTAACCTCTATTAGCTGGGTTACTATTATCTCCATTTCATAGTTGGGTAATCTGAGTCAGAGAAGGATTAAGTTGTCCAACATTTTCCCAGTAGTAAGTGAATGAACCAGAATTTAAACCAGGCAGTTTGACCCCAGAGCCTGTATATTTAACCACCACACTAAGCTATCTTAAAGAGGTATTGCAAAGATTAAATGAAATCATATATCTAAGTCCCTGTCACAGTGTTAATCAATAGTTGTTTAACACATTACAGTTATTCTAAAATTCTACTATATTCCCTTTATATGCCTTAGAATAACTCTTTTAGTCTTCAAAGATAGCACCCTAACTCTATGATTTAGTAGACTTCTTTTAGGCTGCATTGATTCCATACATTTTAATCATATTCATTTTTATCTCTAACCTTCTAGAATTGAAAAGCTGTTTTCCATCATGAATAAATTAGTTCTAATTGCATCTAAGCATCAGGGTTCCTTTAACTCACCTTTTTTGAAATAAGAGAGGTACAGAGAAAAACTATCCAGAACCAGCTTTTATAATAACCACGTCTGGGCTACAGTCAATAGTCTTTGCATGTCAAACGCTCCCATGTGTGCTGATCCATGCTCTTTCCCTGCCTGGCTGGCCAGAGAGAAGATGATCCCCGTGGTGACCTTGGAAGGCACACATTGAAGAAGGCAGTGCTTCTGTTCATTTGAGTCCCTGATTAACTCCATGGGAAAAGGTCACCCTGATGACTTGCTCATGTGCTCAGTACAATTATGCAAGCAAGAAGCACACTTATAAAGTATTAGAGCCAAGAATTAAATGCCATTGGCATCATTATTCTCATCACATTTCACATTATTATAAAAGATAAGGTTTACACATCTTGAATGGT